TTACTTGGTCCGATCTCATTTTTGTACAATTTACCAATACCAAAAATCGCGTTCATATGGTCTCCATTGGCATCTCGTCTAACCGGTTCCTGGGACAGCGGATGAACGAAGCAATGAATTTTTGATGATTTCCCCGACTTTTTCGCGTTGTCGTTATTTTCTATGGGCTAGGGAGCTACCAATTCTGAAACTTCTTTGTAGCGAAAGTCAGCCAAATATAAATGTCTCTTGAAATCGGAATTTCTCTATTTATCAATACTTTGACGCATTGTATGCCGTATACCGTATTCAAATTTATTCAGTCTTAGGCTCAAATATCCTGTCCTTCGACTCTAAGGAAGGCCTCCATTTTGACGGATAAATGCCAAGAAGGATTGTTTATTTCTACGATCAATTAGATCCCTAGCTTGCAACATGTTGAGCCCTTCTACGCTCATTTGTCTAACCAGTAAGTTGTGCTTTGTGTGGAAAGATTTGTGAGTGGTTAGAAACTCTCGGGGTAGGGAGCCCCTCATGGAGTAGAAGATGAGGTGAAGATTTCTCTTCCAACGTGTGGGCGCTGTTGGTTCGAGAGGCGTGTCTCGGGTTGGGTCCGTCCAACCAGCTGGGTTCTTCAACCGTTTGTCTCTGAGTTTTGAGCTCTTTGACGCATATCAGAGTTTCAACTGATTTGCTGAGAGAACCGGCTGATGCTCCTGTTCAGGAAATGCTCTTGATTCAACGCGGAGCAACTGTGTAGGAGCATCAGCTGGTTCTTAGTATGACTTGATGCCTTTTTTCACGTTAGGAGGGTGCTGTATTGGAGAATGAATCCATTTTCCATTAGGTCCAGTCGGTCGCAGCAATAAATGGCTCTCAATCATCTTTTCTTTTGGTCCTGGGGTGTCATTTCATCAGCTGACGGATTGATTTTCATTGAGAACTCCGTATTCCAACCCCTATTTTAAGATGCAGTGAAAAAACTTACCATGAGTTCTAAATAGCGCCTGAATTATTCGTGCAATCGGTTCGTGTCTACCCAACCTCGATGTGGGGAACTACCCTGGAGACGATCTGTTCTTTGTTTCCTATATGGGGTGTTTATGCGCAATACGCATCCCGATGTGGGGAACTACTGATCAGAACTGAGCGTAGTGCATTGTTCTTGATGTTTGTAGAGACTTGTCGCGCTTGTATGTACGTAATAGAGCGCCGGTTTATGATTTGTAGGAGGTTGGGTGGTTGTTTGGCCACAAGTGCTTTGTGCTCCGTCCAACTACCACGCCCCATGATTTTGTCCCCGACCGATCGGTGTTTGAGCAGCTGCTCATTGGATTACACCAGGCGGTGTTGCTTTTTAAAGGCGGTAACGACCAAAATTCCGAAAATCGATCGTCGACCATGGTTTAATCGGCGATAGTGCTTGCGGGTGCTAAAGGCGTAGGTGGTGTCACGATTAGGTGATAAGCGGCTTATCGATAACCAGATCAGGTTTTTTTCGTTTCAGTAGATTACAAGTCTGCTCTAGCAGTAACTATAATTTTTTTAAAATCGTTTTTTGTGCTTTTACTCTTTTTTTTTNTTTTTTTTTGCAAAATTTGATATTTTCCATAATTTATTCAGTTTACTTTGAAGGCGTGCCGTTATAGGTTCTTCAAGTATGTGACAGCCTGGTAGTGGGTCATGGCGCTAAAAAAATGTAAATATTCGATAGGGTAACGGATTTGTCGTAATTTTTGCTGAAATTAGGGTTAAAACTATTCAAAAGCCTATGTTTGGGAGCGGATGTTTTTTTGTCAAGTGAAGGCTATGGGTAAAGAGGCGTGACCTTTTTAGGTGGGCGGGGCTTGCCTAGTTGAACGAGTTTTTGGAATTTTTGTTTTTGGGTACGTCTGATCCTTTTTTAGATGGTTTGCTGCCCTTTTAGTACGTTAAAGGTCTACTGTTCTGTATGGCGTCCGTTTTCCGTCGTAGCTGTATGCTTTGCAATCGTCTTTTGAAAGCGAAAAATGCCGTCGGACCCACCCTGACTGAATGAATCCAGTTTCCCTCCCGATCACCACACCACTCGCTATGCGGTGGATGACATGGGGAGTTGATCGGTGTTTTATTCTGCTCTTACGTGGCGTAAATATATCTTTTGGCCTTTTAATCTCCAGCCTTTTATACAGTTATCTGCCGACGTTCAGAATAATTCGAGATGAAGGCTACACTATCTTTTATGGTTAAAATATATTTTATATAATATTCCTCCCTATTTTTTATATGTTCTCTACACACTATCATATACGCTAAGTCAATGAGAATTGGTTGATGGGCAACACAAAGAAAGGGATTATGAGCGACTTCTTATATCGTCAGAAATCTATCAATGTACCCACTCGGCTCCATGTTTTCGACTTCTCTTGTAATCCTGGTTTTGTGTCGAACTCTGTTTGCGTATCTTGCTTTTTTCTCTGTCTTTCGCCTTCGGAAAGGAACTGTCCGGTATCAACCAATTTCTGGAGTAGGCCATGAGCACACGTTGCGCTGAGATTTGTGGGAGTTGAATTGCTCAGCGATTTGTTTCATAGGAATCCATAGCATTACTTCAGAGAAGAGCACACGAGTCCTCCTTCAGAGTTTTCTTTGAACTCTCCTCTTATTCAATTTTCAATTGCTTTATTCTATTTATTGGCTCATATTGCACTATTCTATAGCTAATTTTACCTTTATTTTATTATGTAGCTGACTTTAAAAGCGAAACTCATGACTACCTCGAACAAAGTGCGAACTATCAGGGTCTGAAATTGACAAAGGTAGCTTTGCACCGATATCAGGCATTTCGCCTTCGTTTTTTTTTACAATTTTTTCCTTTATTTATTTTTTTGCATTTTATTATGCGCAACTCACATATACTTCTGTAGAGAACTCTAAATAAGTGATGGACCGAATATGTCAGTTTCCAAAAAAAAGTTTAGTGATTTGTTGAATATTTTTTGCCTTTTGTTGATAACTCACTTTTTTATTAGAGAACTGTAAATCGCTACTAGTACTCTTATTTTTTTCTACTACATATGTAGCGCTAGCAACTTTGGTTTCTGTTCCCTGTTTTTTGTCGCCAGACGCAATTGACATTTNAAAAAGTTTAGTGATTTGTTGAATATTTTTTGCCTTTTGTTGATAACTCACTTCTTTATTAGAGAACTGTAAATCGCTATTAGTACTCTTATTTTTTTTTCTACTACATATGTAGCGCTAGCAACTTTGGTTTCTGTTCCCTGTTTTTTGTCGCCAGACGCAATTGACATTTACACCCAGACACGCTCAGCTCATCTAATCCTCCACCCTTTCGCGTCTGTAGTACCTTCCTTGCCACATCAATGATTAAGATGCTTATAGTGATTAGATCATCACCTATTCTCCACAAGTTGTTGGAAAGTGTACTTTCCAACATCAGCACGATCAAGACTGTATGCCGAAAGTATGGCACACATCAGAAGAGCTTATCAGCTCTAGTGATTAAGTGTTGTGAGAAAAAGCATATAAATCCATGAATCAGCCTTTTCAGTTGGGTGATGGTTTGTCATACTTTCACTTGCCGGTTCAAAAATGACTCATTCTTGTAATTGTTCCCTGATGTTTCGAAGAATCCTGTTCACGCAGTGTCTTATCACTGCGAAACAGTCCATGCCTTCCTACTAACAGCTGTTGTATGCAATGAGTAAAAAACGGCTTATCATCTACTTCTTTCATTTAAATGTTTCCAGTGACGGTTACTAACTTACTCTTTTTGCGGTCCACGATTAGGCTTCCATGAATTCCTTCGTCTACTATCTCTTATGTTGATATCGATGTATGTGTACGTGCACATGTGTGTATACAAGCGTGTGTGTACGTTCAGTGTACACGTGTATCTAGTGTGTGTACGTGCACATGTTCTCTTAGTTCATTGGTCTTTGTACATCATAAATCGAATGCTTGCATGTGCTGTTTTGTGAGTGTAATCACATAGCCATATTGCTCGCTGCAATGTAGATGCAATTGCTCTCACAGAAAAATGCACCTGAATGTGATTAATGCTGCTCGGTCAAAGTCACGTGTATAAAACCATAACTGGTTATTTACCTTGACGGTGCATTTGCTAAAATTAATTAAAGAATATAGCAGAATATTCAAGTGTTCATATATTGGGTGAGGAAAGGCGATTTTTACGTAATCGTAGTCGACTACGTAAATGTGGGCTTCAGTTTAGCTCTAAACCCAGAAGGCCAACCCATCCGTGAGGGTTAGGCCAATATCAGTCGACTTCAACAGCCCCATCAAAGATCACATTGGACCTAGACGTGCTGGCGTATTGGTCTTGCTGGAATTCCTTTCCCAGCTCAGAGACTTGACGTGGGTGAGGAAGGAGATCTGGAATGATAAAAACTCATTTCCACTGACGTGGGAATAATTACAGCGAAAAAATGCGGTATTGAACGGTTTTCCCCGCAAAAAACCCGCATGTGACCGGTAGCGACCGATCGTTCCATCTGCAACGGTCTCTGCACTCTTTTCCTTCTGCCGCTCGGCGTTTCCCTTTAGTCATCCTCTCTTTCTCGTTCACCAAAACTTTCTACCAATGCTCTTCCCGCCACTTGAGTCTGATCTGGACTGAACGCCACAAGGGTTTATCTGAATTTTGTTGCCGTTCGCATTCTCGCCATTCTCTTCATCGCTTTCCATGATGTGATTGTTCTTCAGCACCTAACGTGCAGATGTTCAACACGCTGGCGTCGCTCGATCACTCAGACGTTTTCGGCGACGTGGCGTCGACGGCGTTGGACGAGCTGATTCGGAATTCGGCCGCTGCCGCGATCAGCACTGCGCACAGCAATCTGTCTGCTGCCCTGCAACCGATGGCTGGTGGTCTCAACAATTCGCAGTTCAGTCAATCCAGTAGCCTCGCGAACTCTCAAGATGGGCCAAGTCGAGGCCGAAAGAAGAATTCCTCGGTCAATTTGGTGTGTGTCGTTTGCGGTGATCAGGTGAACACTTTTTCTATATTTTTCTGCTGTTAGATATTCATTGATAAGTGCTGCCGCATTATTGGCGAATGGATATGCTTTACTACGATAGAAACTTGTATGGAAGTGAAAGGTGGGTGCTGTTGAGGAGGGAAGGAGGCAAGGTAGTAAAAAAAGCGCTACATTCGTTTCCGAGAAATTCTGAGAATCGTTGTATAATGACTAAAGTCCCACGCCTATTTCAAGCTATCTAAACTAATTTTTTGATGGGCGAACTCCCGAATAAGATTAGGTCTTCAATTTCTGCTCCTGACATACCGTCAGTTAACCACAATTTAATGACAAAGTAATCGGATCCCGACTTACATAAGCATATTTTTCTTAACCACTCATTCAAAAATTCACTGCAAAATGCATGGTATGTTAGAGCTTAGGATGGTTACTGTAATGAATATGCTGGGTATTAATTACACCTAGTTCATTTCAGGCCTTTGGCAAACACTATGGCGTTAATGCATGCAATGGTTGCAAGGGATTTTTCCGAAGGAGGTACTCTTAATCCATTTGGTATTCACTATTTTTTGGGTGTATGTTTTTTATGTCGAAGTAGAAGCTATGTGAGATTTTAAACTAGGTTATACCGGTCATGTCTCTATCAAAGGTAATACCCAGAAGGGAAGGAAAGTGAGAATATAAAGAAAAGTATGCAGGCACGTTGTATGTGCTGTATGTCTTCTGCTATATCACCGTTTTGCCTTTCTCTAGCCAGCGCAATGTCACGTGGTCGTTCCGTCGGTGATAACTGTAATAGAAACATAAGTTTATATGACGTGCCGGAAGTTTCCGTCGAGGTCACTGCACTGGAACTAGGTTTACTGCGCTCACAAATCCATGGGAATAGAAACGGTAACCGAGAGACTCCATGAGTTTTCCGCCCGCGTCAAACGAGCTTAAGCCTATACTTCTAGACACTTCCCAGTTTATCCTCAGTGTGATGAGGTGGTGCATAAGTCTTTTAGCTTTTAATTTGTGTAGAAATGGGGCATGTGTCGAAACTACGGTAGCATCATTTCACAGTCCTTAAAATCAAATTCAAGTGCTGAACTTAGTCTTGGCTTTAAATGGAATTGGATATTGAGTATTGGATCCGATCGGACTGTAACTAACCTCATTATTAGGCCTCCCAATTCATTAATTCCTGTTTGTGGGATTCGAATCCTTTGCAAAACTCCGACTAGAATGTGCATGCATGCCGCGCACGTATCATAAGATTTGACTAATGATAGGCGTTCTTCTCGTTACACTTTGTGCATTCATACACAGGGCTACTTAAAAGGGAATCGAATGCTTCCGATAAACGTTGTTTGATGTTTTATTTTGTAGTGTCTGGAACAACCGTCAATATATGTGCCGATTTGATGGGCAATGTGCAATTGCAAAAGGTATGTGTACTTGTGACTAGGAGCCGTCTTAAAGGGGTAGAGCAGGCATGCGTTCAAAGCCGAATCACTAAGATAATCCAGTCCAAGCAGGGCGGTTTCAAAAACGTGGGGCAGCTGATGACTGTTGGCGTTTACAAGGGGACGGCTTTTATGTATGTACTGCTTAGTCCCGGGTAATGGCAAGCGGCACATTCACTTCAAAGAATGTCGTGACATATAATAGTCTGCCATTTAAGGCGCTTGATATGTAATGGGGTTTTCCTAGAAGAGAGAGAGGGGGTGGGGACGTCTCAGAGGCAGTCCTCCATTGCCGGAACTCTCCATGTCTTCTCTCGAATACTTCCTCACTTGTTGGTGTTGGCGCCGTGCCATTCGCTAGGTATATCCCTAACTTTAAGCTGTATCTGCGTGGGTCTTTATTATCGTGGAACATCGTTTTTCTCATCTTTTCCTACACGTTTTTTGCCAGTGAAACATCTTATGTTTATCGACTGAAATAATTTCTATGCAAATTTTATTCCCTGTCATTAAATGGAATGGAAACCATTTAAGAAGTGGTGGCATAATACTTGACGATTTGTGGCACTGGAGGCTTTCATGCAATCTGATTGACACTTGCATCGTTGTCAGAATGAATCAACTGCTTTTCTGTTCAATTAATCCTTATGTTTACAGAACACCGGAATGTTTGTCGTGCATGTCGATTGAAGCAATGCTTTGTAGCTGGAATGAATCCAAGGGGTAAGCATGGCTCCATTTTGGAATTAAATGAAATAAATCAACTTTCTCGAATCTCATGTTTGTTTCTTGGTTTTTCTTTTTTTTCATTCTTCTTTTTCTTTCTTTGTTTCAACCGGGAACTTTAATATTCTCACCTTTTACGAGACTGTATATCGGCTGCAGGTAAAGTGAGACTATAAGCCCTTTCTCATTTCTAGTTATCGCAAGAAATGAAAAAGATCTATAGCCTAATAATCTTGAAAGTCAAGGGCGTCGGACCAGTAAAGCGCGGATGGCCCAACCACTTCGTTGTTTTCAAACAAAGCGTACTTTCTCTCCATAAGCATATATGCCATTAGGTGTGCAATTTCGTTGTTCTTTTTTTAGCGGTGCAATCCGAACGGGAGCGCAGCGATCCGTTACAGGATATGGATGATGGTGACGATGACTATAGAGAGAATTCCCCCGACAGGTAATCAACATTTTCCGCTGTTTCTTTATGACGAAATCGGCTTTGGTGTACGGCAAGGATGTGAATATACCGGGTGAATTGCTGACTCCTGCTTATGTAAAAGTTTTAAAGCAATTGCTGTTGCTGCCCTACCCCTTCCACTTTCCCAACCTATAGGAATTTCTTTAGGATTCTCAAACTGACACTAATCATTCCCTGTTCCTCTGACCCATGGCAAGGGAAATTGTCGTGACTGTCAAACTCACAGTGTCCCGTTAGGTGTGGTATATAGTTGGCGAACACGGCGCTAATATCGTCTAGTACCAGTATTAAGTCCGTATCGATCTTGTGAAACATAAGAAAGTAGAATCATGGGAAGGTGCGAAATCAAAACCTCGCTCGCTGCCAAGTGGCTGGCTCCGCCCACGTTCGCGTCCAGTCCGCTTCTCCGTGATCAACATCTCCGTAATCATCCATCCCGGCGCTTAACCCTTTTAGGGCTAAGGCGAAAAAGCCATGTTTCTCTGGCTAGAAGCCGTCCCTACATGTAGATGGAGCCTCGCTCAAGCGCCAAGTGTAAAAAAGGAGGGGTGCGCCCCCTTCCCTTTCCCCCTCCAACTACATTTTTACCATTTTTCCTTATTGCTTCTTTATTTCCCTCAAAAGGTTTCTCATATGATTCCCATTACTTTCGTGCAAGCGTGATTTACTATCTCTATTTGCTAGCATCCATGTGTCATTATCAATCCTACATTGTCATGTTGTTGTGTTTGCAGTTCTTCGTAATTTTCTTCATGCATAATTCACCAAACATTACAGATGCTCCGTCGAAGTCCAAACAGAGCAGTATTCAATGAAAGCCGATGCTTTGCCGAGTCCAGATGCCGAGTTGAATAGGTACGTCTATATCACGTGTATATTGAGAATATTTGAATCATTTACTCTTTTTGCTGTACCCAAAGAAGAAATTTTTGGAGCAATGAAAAAAATTTCGTTTGTTCGAAGATTTGTGGAAGCATTCTGCTTTGTAGCGCAATTTTCGGGTATGAGCTTCTTATATCCAATCATCTGATTGATGTAGCTTCCTATTGTATTTTAACTTTGCGAAGTAATAAGAAGTGTTGGGACAACTTATAGCCTTTTCCATGATATCAATCCGAGCCTTCAATCTATTTTGAAAGGACAAAAAATAGTACATACAGTGCGACCATTTGGAGGACCATGTTTTTTCAACGGGTTTAGCAACTTTGACGTCAATACATATTTATAATTTGTGCTATTATATGTAGTACACACTAATATTGAGCAGTTATTACTGCGCAGTGATTAGGGATTTGTGTGGCTTCATCTTATAAATCACGACTTGCTTTTCATTATTAATCAATTCTCTTCAATCAGTTCAATCACTTGAGCACAAGGAATGCCATGGATTTCATCTGTCCAGATGACATCAGCTTACAAACTAGTATTTATTCAGGGCAGCTGACAGTCTTTTGGCTATGCACCGACAAGTTTGCAACCGTGTGGACCCCCCGAGTGCATCGGGATATTCCCGATCTGATGGTGGGTGTGAGTTGTTTCTCATTTGCACTACTTTTACAGTTAACCTTTATGATTCAAACTTCAAGCTGTTGGAGCGAATTCTACAGTACTCTGGTCACTGGTCTCAATGGAGTGGTGCTTTAATACATATGAAATTGTGAAAGAATGGCCGGCTTATTTCTCATTTCATTACTGCATTACACTTCTACCTCTCATTTCGTCGTTACTGGGAAAGTTCGTAGGAGTATTATCATGTCGCATGTATAGAATATATAGCAGACCTTGACGATTCACAAATGCTCCCCAGACAAACTATTCAGATTAAGAGTAGTGGATTATTAAGAGTAATTCGCTGACTCTTTTCTCAGGAAGATTCGATTTCAAGCAATATTCCACTACGTTAGTTCTGATGGTCAATGCTCTGATGTAAGACCAGGAAACGGTTGAGATATGCGTAGCTTTCAGGTTTATCATCAGCCAGTGTGTCGTTCATCAACGCTTTCTACAATCCGAACATGATTTCTGCAAGAACACCGGTATGTTTTGGAACGAGATTGCAATTATTTTCGTTTATGCGAAAGATAGAGAGAACCGAACATGAATTCCTTTTTCGTGGGTGGTGTTATGATGCTGCTTATATTTGACCTAGAGTTGTGACTTCACTATGGTTAATTTTTTGATGTGGTTTCGTTATTCATGAACGAATGATTGTAGACTTTTCAAGAATCAAATCTTCCCCCTTCTGTTCATTTGGGAAAAAGTGGTAACAAATGGAATATTACAAGTTATGACTGAGTAAATGAATGTTCTTGGGTTATTAGAAGAATATTGCGGGGAATTAACCGATAGGCCAAGTAGGCGAAGAGTATTTGGGGCAAATCATTTACATATTACAGCTCGTCATCACAGCTGAGAGGGTGGCAACAATGAAGGATGTGATGCAAGATTGGCGAAGGCATTTTGTTTTGTTTGCCGACTGGTTGCACGCTTTGCCGGAGTTCGCATCTCTGAGCGTTGATGATCAAGTAAGTTTGTATGAGTTTATGCTTAAGAACATTCACTGCTTTTTCTTTGTTAAGCTGCAAGACAAGATAACCTTGTCAATCATAGTGTAGCGACGTTCTCTAAATTATCTCACCACCTCGTTCTCGATAGCTGTCTTTTTTCATCCTATCAGCCTATAAAGCTGTCTGTCAGTATGTCATAAGAGAGTTCCGGGCCTGAGTAAAACAGTATGAAAGAACAAGTCATGACGTAGGAAGCGCCTGATGTGGAGTTTTGCTGATGTGGTACCACAAACAAACAAACAAAAACAAGTGCAAATTAGTGACTGAAAGGACTTTGCAATGTCTTACAATCGCCCTTACAACTGGAAAAACATAGCTCTAGGCGAACTCCAGCCTATATTTACACATCCGCACCATTAATACCTTCATAATTTGGTTTCTCCTAATTTCTTATTAACAATTCAATGACAGTTCATCTTTATCTGAGTACATATTGATAGGTGAGTCGGAACGTGAAAATGTGTCTTGTAGTTTCAAAAATCGAAGCGCGGTAACTTACTAACACGATTTTGTTCCTATTTCGATTTTGCTACGGTCCTCTCATAAATCCATTCAAAGGCGATTTCCTCTCAATCCTTCACTGGCAGATAAAACCATTAAAACGAGTCTTTTCAGATCTTAATAGCGAAAAGTCGATTTGGTTCGTTTTATTGGTGGTTATGCGCGAATTGGACGAATGAGGCTTGTTGTGATGGTGTTTGTTACGCAAACGGCACGTACTTTCCTCGATCAGAAGCACTTCAATGTTTTCCAGATGTACGGTGAGTTTCACTATCAGTGCTTCGAACAGTGGTTTTCTTGGATTGATTTTATAATAAATGAGAGTGATCTATATCTTTGATAATTTCAAGGGATGAAACGAGAATAGATCATTCAAGCTTGTCGCGTTAGCTACGATCACCATTAGGATCGCGTTTATAGTTGGAAAGAATTGGTGAACCAACTGTCATCTAGATAGAGTAGACGCATTTGGATAAAGGAATAACGTCGCATCGCCCTTAAACAGTGTAATGTACGACCCGTGGCATTTTACAATAAGATGAGCGGTTGCAGCTTGTCTTTTTCCCCCTTCATTTTAAGGTCATTTTCATATTGTTAGTTAGAAACCCTGTCTCGTACTTCATAAGCCTTTTCATGGAAAATTGAAACCCTTTAAAATTTGAAACGGAGATAAAGTTCTGGTCCGGAATCCAAGTTAATGTAACACGGTAGATATTCATTGCAGAGGATGTTGTGAGCGAATGGTAGTGACGTTATCTGAGCCTCTTCGCGAACTACAACTCGATGAAACCGAAAAATGTCTCATGCTGGCAGTGATCGTGTTCAGCGACGGTGATTTGTTTGATACCTATTTGTCTTTCTTCTTTTTTTCTTTTCCTTTTGTTATTGTTGCATTTAACTTTTACTTTACTTTTACCGCTGGTTATTGACGGAGTTAAGCTATAGATTTTCGAATAAATCTCTAAAGCATTAAGTGTTGTGAAGGTAGTCAAGTCTGTCAGGGTAGTTCAGCTTTGGCTATTGCCGCGACGAGCACAAGATCCCTAAATTTTAATGTGAGGCTGCTCCTGTAACCTTTCTTTTAAATCTCAGACTTCTCAGAACCTCTCGAATTGTCGATGTCGGGCAAAGAACATGTTCGGACTATGGGACATCGTTATGTACGAATGCTGCACCATCATATTCGAAATCGAGAGCCTGGTCTGTCAAACTCGGCAATAGCGTTACGCATAGCGAAGATCATGATTCTACTCACAGCAACCACAGTGAGTTTTTCTACTATATTCACTTTTTAGTACTATTTGTCTTTTGTGGTTGTGGACTTGATCGAACATCGTTACCCTGTTATTTCATTCATTTTCTTCTACTTTTTCTTCTGTTCCCCTCCAAGACCGAGCTCAACTCCGTTTTTCACTTGATGCATCAGTAGACAGATGGGTGTATAGATTCAATACAAATTCAGCTGCGTCATCTGATGGGGACCAAGACAAAAAATGTTACAAAAATGAAATGGCCATGCCATCCTCTTCAGCCTTTGTGTTAGAATTTACTATTTATCGTTGGAGAATTAACGACTCTGTTTTCACGTAAGTTGAGGGTGAAAAGTTAGAGGGAAAACTTCTTGTTGGGTTCCTCAGGATCGGTTGCACTAAAATTAGGCCGGCACTATGCGGCATACTGACTTTTGGTCATGAAACCTTTTTCTAAAGATAGTGGTTTGGCACAACTGAGGCTACGCGCAGCGACTTTGTCTCGGCGAGCTTCCATTTGTGGCACATGTTGTCCGATGACCCTCCTTTTTGTCGCCTTAAAGCTCGGGCCTTATAATGATTGTTTTTGTACGCTAATGGCGATGAGTATTACATTTGGCTATGCATTGCATTCTTTTGCATCGAGTCTTCGTTTTTAAAGTGATTTAAGGTGTGAATGCCGTCATTACAATGCATCATGTTACAGAATTTGGTATATATGGCAAGTGACAACATGCAACTGCATGATGTTCTGCATATTGTCGATTTTGGATCATGGCCTGATGATTTCATGAAGAACAGTTTCAAGGATTCAGGACTTTGAGCACTCGCACCATGCACTTATCGTTAGGAATTCCGATCGAGCTTTTTTGTTGTTTTTTCTAAACATTCCTTCTCAGGAAGCATATGAAGCTGACGCTGAAATGATCTGAAGTTCGTGGCTAATTAGATCTCAATGGGATCAGTTAGCTCGTAGCAGACTATCAAGAAGTGTCATCTTGTAGCTCCTGAGAGATGCCTATTGATTGCTGGGGAAACTTATGCACCAATGTATTCAAATTTCGGGTTGCTCATCATGTTCAAATGATCCTGGTCCTATTATGTGGTACGTCGTTTCCTCTATATCCGTATCCCTCATGTCGTCTCTGTGCTATTTCTTATTGGACGTTCACTGCGCTCCTTCCTGTGTCTGCGTATAATTCTTATATTCTCCAGATTTGGGCTGAAATATGATTCGTACTGTTGTATAGGTAACCTCCACAAAATCAGGTCATAGAGAGTTTATAACCATATTCTACATTGTTACTGTCGCATTCTGATCATCAGGGAAATCATCCGATTGGGTAGAAGTGATCTGTGGTAGGGGACACCGTGGCACTGGTAATCGGGTAACTTCACCAACCGGATGGTTTAGACTTCCCAGATTTAATAAGGTCTTCTTAGGATACCTGTGCAAGATTTGATAATGCATGCAAACTGACTGCTAGTCAGGGTACAGGCGCCCGGAGACTTTGTGATTCCGTCTGCCACCAGGGCATAGGCAGCATGAATTCCTCTACGTCTACGCTCTTTTCAGAGATCTATTGGCTGCAAAAATGAGGTGCTGTCAGTTTGGATGTGTCTCAGGGAGGCACCTGATCAATTTATAAAAGAGTACGGTAGTTTAAAGCAGTAGCTACTAATTGCGTCTCCGCTCAGGATCAATTCCGATCGACGAGTTCCATGAAACCTTTGTCTATGTGTGCTAGTCCAATGTTGGTTATGACTCGATGTTTATCTGTGTGTTATTGTTTATATTTTCGGGGACACTGTTAATAGGAACGCATGTTGATGTTTTTATGTATACCTGTTCGTTACTTAACCCCTGCCAAGGGTTCTTGCGCTGTTGCTTCTTTGAATGATCGCAGCCTATTTGATGTATACCCAGTGATTCTTTTCATCCGGAATTCCTCAAATTCCTGAAAAGCAGAGCGTCCCTATTAAGGGTCATGAATTCGCTAGATAACTAGTTTTACAGAGATGTAATAATAAAAACGATATTTCTGGATGTGTAGAAGGAGCACAACAGGGTGAGCCATACTGGAATTTCTAAACGTTTCAGTTAACAGAGGTTCCTAGAGCTCCTACTTTTCGTATTAGGGCTCCAGATTATATTAAAGCGGTCAGTGCATGCCCTACAGAGGATCTGTGTCATTGCATGCATCCTATGCTTCATGTACAGTAGACTGTGTTTACGGTACTGACATGGTACTCTTCCGCGGAGGATACGGTACTGTTTACGCCTCGTTGCTGTATATATATTTGATTAGAGCGCCGTGGTAACAGCAAAACAACATTGCTTACCATAATGCAAACAAAATTCATTACAAAAATTTCGATACAGTATGTTAATCGTAGAAAACGGATGAGTTGTTGGATACAACTCTTATATTACATTGCAAAACGGTATTTTAGTGTTTCTAAGGTAAGATGTATTTTACTGAAGATTTTGTATGCAAAGACCATTAATGCTTCTTAAACTTCTTGATGGTAAGGTTCCGTTTTATGTTATACACATGTACATTCATGCTGTATACAGTCATGTACATGTTGTGCACATGCTATGGATATGCTAAACACATGTTATACACATATCATATCATACACATGTTACATAAGACGTTAAACTTATGCTATACAAATGGTCAGAGATGTCGTTGCTTACGCTAAAAAATCGAAGATCAGGTGAGCTGGACACATAATGCGATATCGTGATGACCGTTGGACCAGGGCGGTCACTGACTGGATACCCCGGGATGTCAAACAACACTAGGACGACTGCCAGCGAGTTATTCAGACTTCTTAACGAATGCTCCAAAGGAAGGAATGGTATGCTGCGTGTCACTCGAGCGGAATGATCCACTGAACCTGTCTGGCTCGCGAAGGGGACGATTGGAGACGTTACTAGCGCCCGCTCGAAAAAATCGATAATTAATGGGACGAAGGTGATACAACGGATACAGATGCTATGCATATATCATTCTCATGTCATGCAATAAGTAATATGTATGTTATATGTTATACACACGTTGCACAAACGTTATATACATCTATACATATGATAAACGCATGTTATGCAACACGTTATATACATAAAGTCATATGTATGTTAGATATATGTTAGACACATTCTTTACACAACTTGAAAAAAGGGCTCATGGTTCTCCTTCTAGCATAATTTAGCCCGATCAGGAAACATCACACACATACACACATATACACACATNCACATACACACATGCATACACGTACACACACATACACACACATGCACACTCACATACATACACACACGCACCCACAAAACCGCGGCTTTTCCGGGGAGCGTCGGTTGCTATTCGCCAATCATTTCAGACTTTGATTTGAGTAGCTCCTCGCTTTTGAGCGTTTTCGGATTACGTTTCAAGATGTTTTCCCTTCACATAATTCATTGTGCATTGTGAATTACTGGGTCGAAGTCCACTGATTGAGTAGGAAAATCGATAAAGCTTATTATTTATTAAATTCTCTCATTTGTACAAACAATTATGACATAAGTGAGGATCAATGCGTATCTTTTCTTTTGACGATATGATCGCATGAACCACGACGTGGTTTGGCACATTGGGTACTTTTCCGTCGTGTGGCAGGCTTGGATTTACGTGTCGTTGATGGTGCTGTGGTAGCACGTCGTCTACTAGACATCCCACGACTGGCGGCTAGTTGTCGCTTCAGATCGCATAGATCAATTTGTAATTCGATCTGAAAATATTATTTCGGATAGTTTAAAATGGTAACAGATCTCGATGTTTTTCTGAATCTGATTTTCTGATTCTTTTCGTTATTGAGCTTTTTGAGCTCCATAGGGGGCGAGAGAGGGGTGTAATGATATAAATGTGGTAGGAGGTGAAATAACTACAGCACTTGTCCGTTTACATAGATACTGCAATTGGAGGCTTTAGGGTTTCTTAGCAATTTTCGTTATACTTTCTACAAAATAACTAACAACAAATATGGGGTAGGTATGCATTTTATGATAGTTGAACTTTGACAAGTTTTCCTTTCGTCGGCATTACTCATTTTACTAGTTTGATATGCTTACCTATGTATATCTTATCCGAATTCCGAGCTTACAACGTAGAGACCTAGACCATTTCAGGATTCAGTTTAAATTAAGGTCATGATGATGATCGAACCTAGTGAGAAGCAGCCGAACTGTTCCATCATAGCTAACATCAAGATTTCCACAATCACGCTCTACACACTTATGAGCGAGCTTGGAACTTGAGCCTTCACTTCTCCATGGAACATGAAAGGTACGACTTTCTTTTGATCACTTTTCGAACTTAATGAGCCATCTGATTTTGTATGGTCGGCCTACATGTCTGATGAGAATATGAAAGCGGAGGATAATTTCAATCAGTACTATGGCAAAGTCTACGTACATGTTCTTTATCTTCTAGTACATACTTTTCACAGCATTATCATAAGGGTTGAAGCAGAACTTCACCAACCATTTTTATTCTCTGCATACTCTTCCAATCAGAAATCCCGAAAGGCTTATGGGCCTTATGATCCCGAGGTAACAGTGTCTACCCTGCATTTAATACTTCTAGAAGCTTGTTCGCTTGTTCGTAGCTCCTATTCCTATGTTTATGCCTTTTATGTAACTCGCTTGATTCCTTCTACAAGAATATTCCGCAAGAATTACTGGACGTATCTGAGATGTGGTCCCCTGTACACTTAGCCTTACTCAAGGCAGAAGTCATGATCACATCAGGTGGCGGAGATTACGAGTATTGTTGTAGAGGTCTTACAAAATCACTGAAAATTTTGCTTGAAAAACGAAATCTCACCATGCTGACTTGGTTTTTATCATCTCCAGCGTAAAGTGTCTGAAAAATCATCAATTAGACATTCGAAAACGTTGAATATACCCGTAATGTTGAGAGATATAATTACCTGATTGGCAACATTCTGCTTATATTGATTTTCATGAACTTCTTGCATATTAGCGAGGTTTTCTATAGTTAATGGTTCGCTACCGATTCCACTTTCCTGGAAATATCTGTTTTTGCTTCAATAGTAGCGGGTTCGTAAAATAAAAATCATCATATCTAAAATCATTTCATGTTTTATTCCTACAAGCATATTGGCAATTCAGAAGGCCACCATTTAGTGGGTATTTACGGTGGAATTGAATGGGCACGATCTATTAATGGAGGCTCAATTAATTTTTGTTGAACATATCCCTTTTCTAAACTGGTCAAGTCAATTTTCCTGGCGACTATTTTTTTGAGAAAACGCCTCTTTATTTCTGAATTCTTGAAAAATATGAAAAATTTCATTCTGTAGTTCTTGAAATGTGAAGTCCTCGTTAAAATCTGCAAGACTGCAGAGGTCCTAAGAATCCGTGTCATAGATTCATCCCAAGCTTGTTCACTTCATATGGTTCACCCGGGTGATCTGACTTACCAAATCTGGTACAGGTGGCTCGTCATCCTTGCTTGTTCTCTTGTCTCGGAAACTGTCCCGAATTTGCTGGCTGAGCGATCGTATCCGGGATTGAGTGGCTCGGAATGATTGGCCAACTGTTCCCATTTTACGGCTACGAAATGTACTGAACACCGAAACCGTCTCTTCCAGTTGTTTCTTCTCTTCCTTAAAACGGACAGAATTACTTTCCTAAACTTGTTAACCCGAAACAGTCTTAGCTCATCAACGGAAGCCACCTGACCCTTGGAACTTACAATTTCTCTTTTCTTCTTGTTGAAGAGGTAGTCTCGTCTTCGTTTGGAGAAAGCGATCCATGCGATTTTCGATATGAACAGGCTGATCTCAGTGACGGTGATCAGTGACATACCCAGGAACATGCCCATGTTACCACCGATGTCACCTGTATCGATTGGCATACAGTAGAATCAAGCCAATGGAATAAGGAACTTACTGAGAATTTCTGTCACTGACGTAGATTTCACTTGTCTGTATTCGGTGTGAGCCATATCCCGATGGAAAACGTTCACCGTTAGGAAGTTGCTCCTGTATATTAAAATATATTTGAGGATAAAAGTCACAAAATGTAGTAGATGGATGACTAATGAGAGAAAACGCTTGATGCTCGTCAACTCTGTTCGAAAAACCCCTTTCTGTCCAGAATCACCAATACTTGCAAAAGTATTTGGTATATACATCAGTTCTACACATTGGGGGCTAGCCCTGTACACAAACGATGTTTTACCATATCCTTTGCTCATAGACAACTTGACATCTGAACAACTGAGCCATCTCCGGATGGTTAATATGCCCGAGCAGTCGTCTTGAAACTTAACCCAACCCATCTCAAAGGTGAAAATAATTTGAACTAAGTAAAAACCGAACCTCATATGAGCTTTGCTCCATTGTGGGTTTTTTCGATTCAGCCATTTCAGTGCTCCATGACTGAATCCGGAGC